TATATATACTTATACTAATAACTAACGGTGGTATAGTATGTGTTTTTAGTTGTACTTTATATATATGAGATTTATTTATTTTAAATTTTGAGGTTAATTAAATGAAGACGTGTTGTTGATATCATAAAGATAAAAGAGTGATTCATTTGAGTAAATTTGACTGTCACTTTAGCTATTTTTATCTCTATTAAAAAATAATAAATACAACACATAACTTAAATAAAATTGATGATTTTATCCTAAATTTTACGCACTCTATTTTTAATGTAAGAATATACTTGAAAATAATTGTTCATTTTAACTTAGTCATGAATTTCAAAGATGATTATCAATTTGGAACAAATTTTTACAAAATTTAACCAATATGTAACGTATAATTAATGCGATAGCAAAATCATAATTATTAATAAAAATGTTTAGAGTTCGAATAAATCTGTTTACCCTGAATCAATATGTGAATAATCAATATATATATATATATATATATATATATATATATATATATATATATATATGCACAAATTAGACATTGTTTAGACACTTATTAAATATTTTATTTATTCATAAAGAGTTTTTCTAATTTAACTTAACATTATTATGTTGTTTTTTGTTGTATGTTTTTGTTGAATGTTATGGGATTTGGTGGGGTTTATATGTTGGTTGGAAAATAAAAAAGAGTATTTTCTGCACGCCACAATGAGTGCACTAATTTTAAATAATAGTAATTATTTTTGAATTTTGATGAAAAAAGAAAAGAAAAAAAAACACACATGCAAAGACATAAATTATTATAACAAATAATTGACGCATGCTTGACTTAGTTTAACTTTATATAATAATCATGACAACAAATATAACTACTCTCCGTATTTTAATAAAAAGATTCTTTTCCTAAAATAAATATGGCTTTAAATAGTATTACTTGTTTTAAACTACAATGTTATATTAAATAACCAGTTCTTCTTAACTATATGATCACTAATTAAAATATATCTAATTTATGGGCTACGAAAATAGTGTTTATTGTTGCTTTGTTACAAAATACTTTTGAAAAAGATTATTAAAATTGTTTTACTAAATTAAGCTACAAAAGCACTTGAGAATAATTATTAAACATGTTTCTTTTCTGAGTTACAATGTAAAAACTTGGTGTCTTATTGTCTTAATTATACATAAATAGCTTTAGGGAGATAATGATGAAATTTTATGATGTTGAGAACAATAGGGGCCTCTAATGTCTCTTTAAAGTAAGTTGGAGTGAAAAAATTTAAGTATCTAAATTGTGCTATAATATATATTAACATAATATATATAAAGAAACATCTAAATTTAATCTCATGCATATTTAACAAGTAAATACTTCGGTATAAAGAGTACACATTTAAATACTTCAATTTATCAGATACTTCAATTAATTAGTCTAGATTATAAACTAAACACTTTATAACTTGTTCCATTGTGTCTCGTGAACGCTCGATGCTGAGGTGTCTAGATGATCATGTTATAAGTTAGGGTGTTCAACTAACAGTCTAACACAGTGAAAGTGAGTTGAAGTCTAAATATGTTTTTATTTGTATTTTCAAAATTGAAGTGCTTACAAATCAATTAAATCAAATATATATGAATATTTGTTTATGTATTATGTCAAGTTAATGATAACCTAAGCTCGAAACTTACAAATAAAATATTTTTAATAATTCCATTTTTTTACCTCTACTTTTTCTCTAAATTTCAGAATCTCCAATAACTTCCCTTTTATCTCTACTTTATCATTTTTAAAATTAATTAATTAACTTAAAGTCCATAACTTTACACATATTTGATGATAAAATAAAATAGTATTTTCTTAATAAATAAATAAATAGATACTTTTTTCTTAAAAAGACAAAAAATTAAAAAAAAATGTAGTGGGGTGGCTGTGACTTGCGAGTGTACACAGCAGAACAACAACAGTGTTGCAGAACAAAATACTCATAGGATTTATCAAAAAAATTATGTTTCTCTCAAATTTCTGCAATTTTTTTTTTTTAATCTCAGCATAGAACAGATTCAAGAACTAAAGATGATGAGTTCAGTTTAGGTAATTATTAATTATTTTTTAAAAAAGAAAAAACTTCCACATGTATAACATAGTTTGAGTGGATATATATATGTTTTTTTCTTACTTCTTGTTCAAGAATCTGATGACCCACTAAACAATTTTGTTTTCTTTTTTTGTTTGTTTTGCTTTTGTTTGTGTATAAAGATTGCTCCTTTATTTGCTTTAGCTAGATGATTCTTGGGAAGAGGTGATTAGATGAGATCTGACATAACTATAGCTTATCGAGAACATAATCTTAGATAAAAGTAACAATCTTTATTTGTTTTAGCACGATAATCAACGTGACATGACACATTTATAGCTTAGTAAATATGTAACCTTAGATAGGAGGTTACGGATTAGGGTAGCAAGATAATCACTAGGATATAATACATCTGTAGCTTACCAAGAATATGACCTTAGTTAAGATCTTACGGAGTAAACGGATTATGATAGAAAGTTAATAAAGTACATTGAGTGTAATGTCACTTATCTTTTCATACTAGTAATTGTAGCATTACTCTTGTAGCTTATTGTTATTCGATTTCTGATAACATTTGTTATTTCTTGTACCCCGATTGTTGTCTTCTTTTGTTGTAGTTACTGTTCCTTTTGTGAATGTTTTGTCCTTCTTTCTTTAGTTCTTTTTTTTGGCCATGACTTCTTTCACTGTCTGAGGATCTATCGAAAACGGTCTCTCTATCTTTTAAGGTAGGGGCAAGATCTGCGCTTCTCACTTGTTGAATTAAACTGAGTATATATGTTGTTGTTGTTTACTTGATTTTAGTGAAATGGTAATGTTAAAGATTTGATTTATAATGCAGAAAGTAAGGGACTTACCTCAAAAAGAAGCTGCAATTCCAATGGGAGAGTGTAATAATGCAGAATACATAGAGATTAATGAAGTTGTTTCTTCTTCAAGAGCAAATAATGATAGGAAACTTTCACTATTGCCTTTGGTTTTTCTCATTTTCTATGAAGTATCAGGTGGACCATTTGGTGTTGAAGACACTGTACACGCAGCTGGTCCACTTCTTGCACTTGTTGGTTTCTTGGTTTTCCCAATTATATGGAGTGTACCTGAGGCACTTATAACAGCTGAATTAGGCACCATGTTCCCCGAAAATAGCGGATATGTTGTTTGGGTTTCATCTGCATTAGGTCCATACTGGGGCTTTCAACAAGGTTGGGTGAAATGGTTGAGTGGAGTGATCGATAACGCTCTTTACCCCGTCTTGTTTCTTGATTATCTGAAATCAGGAGTTCCTGCATTAGGTGGTGGACTTCCTCGCGTTCTCGCGGTCATAGGCATTACTTTGGTACTTACTTACATGAACTATAGAGGTTTAACTATTGTTGGATGGGTTGCTGTTCTGCTCGGGGTATTGTCGATTCTTCCTTTTGTTGTTATGGGGTTGATCTCGATTCCAAAACTAAAGCCCACGAGGTGGTTGGCGACGGATGTGCACAGTGTGGATTGGAATTTGTATCTGAATACTCTCTTTTGGAACCTGAATTATTGGGACTCTATAAGTACTCTAGTAGGAGAAGTGCGTAACCCGAAGAAAACTCTGCCTAAAGCTCTGTTTTATGCTGTGATTCTAGTCGTTTTATCCTACTTTTTCCCTCTGTTAGTTGGTACCGGAGCTGTTCCACTCGAGCGTGATCTGTGGACGGATGGCTATTTCTCAGATATCGCGAAAATACTTGGTGGAGTGTGGCTAAGATGGTGGATTCAAGGGGCTGCTGCATTGTCAAACATGGGGACATTTGTAGCGGAAATGAGCAGCGACTCATTTCAGCTACTCGGTATGGCTGAGAGAGGGATGCTACCCGAGTTCTTTGCCAAGAGATCACGTCATGGAACACCTCTAGTCGGGATCCTCCTCTCAGCTTCAGGTGTGCTTTTACTTTCATGGATGAGCTTTCAAGAGATTGTAGCTGCAGAAAACTTCTTGTATTGCTTTGGAATGATCTTGGAATTCATAGCATTCGTACGATTAAGGATAAAGTTCCCAAATGCATCGCGCCCTTTCAAGATACCTGGTGGAACAGTCGGAGCCATTGTACTGTGTATTCCTCCAACCATACTCGTTGGTATTGTTTTAGCGTTTTCAACGGTTAAAGTCATGATAATAAGCCTTGCTGCTATTGCAATCGGGTTGGTTATGCAGCCATGTCTTAAACACATTGAGAAGAAGAAATGGTTGAAGTTCTCCATTAGTCCTGACCTTCCTGATATTCATCGCGATAATGGAACATTAGTTCATTGATTTTGTTTAGACAAATAGACAATGATATGGTTTCTCTTTTTTATGATCCATGAAAAGCTATGAAAAGTTGATGTATGAAAATGTTCACACCTTCAATCATGATCTCTTTTTAATTTATTTTTTTTGACGACAATATGATGTTGGCAAGGTTTGAAATCCAGACTTTGGGTTAAAATATGAAGCCTAATCTAGTAGGCCAAATAGCTGGGTATCTCTTTTTTACTTTTATTTGTTATTTGCGTGGAATGTCACACGAACAGATTACTTCACCCAAATTCAATGCAAGAGGTTAGCCCACTATGCGGCAGTCAAGTCCCACACTTAACTCAGTCAGTTTGCAACCTATACTGCTCAACGTTTAATAATGTCTTTTCCTTTGTTTTCTGCCTTAAATTATTTTTCGAAGCTTAACATTGAAATGCACAAGATACATGGGCAAACCCAAACATTTATATTAATATACAAAACAATACAAAAGAAACTCACTCATTAGGATAACAAGTGTATCCCAACTTTGACTTTGACTTCAACATAAGGCACAATCACAATTCAATTGCTGCCTTTGATACTTTTAAAAATCCTTAGGTTTTTTCTAAAGTGTTTTAGTGAAATTCAAGACTTAATTCTTCACTCTTATCTCCAAAGCATCCAACACCAAGGCTGTCTATTGATAGACCATATGGTAGCCTTGTATTTTACATTGCATAGTGTAATGACACATGTTTAACACTTATCAAGCTATCCACCCACTATATTAAACTTCAGTTGACATTCTCAGTTGATAAAAAATATTCAAATTTCGAAATCTCAAATGCATACAATAGTTACAATGAATCTGAACGCAAGTGGTTACAAAAAGATAACAGTCATATGTGACTTTGGTTGACTGAATTTCGGTCCTTTGCTGCATTTTCTCTTCATATTTGGCTCCAATACATCTTCTACCCGAATCCATCCGTTCATTTTTCATGCCTACATATTGCTGAGTTGGTGTTGTATCTTCGAGATAGGAGTTGGCGGTATTATATTCCAGTTCCATAAGTTCCATCTCCATTCTTGAAACCCCAACTTCCTAAATAAAAGATGTATACATATAATAATACATGCAAAGAAAAAATAAATCAGAAAATTCAAACAATGACTAATTGACTATGCAGCTGATGTAGTAAACCGGGAATCAAAAGTTAACAGCAGTAACTAAATTCTCTTGCAAATCGGTCTCATTTTGGAAGAAAAACCAAGCAGAGTTTCAGGAAAAGTTGCAGGCAAGACAAAGGTCCGACCTGAGAATGCTAGTTGCGCGCACTTACAAAGGCGTTTGACAACGAACTTGGGGTAAATGGATGGCTTAAATCCATGATGATCAATCTTCGATAAGTTTGCATTCAAATCTTTCCACACTCCACCAAATCCTCTACATTGTTGTCTTTTTCAACCTTTCTGTTGATATCCGGTAATGGAAATGAAGCTTGTCCTGCAGAGAAGTATTTCCAGGGCCACGGCTAGGCTAACGAATTTCAGCCATCCACTTACCCTACGTACGTTGTAGAACATCCTTGTACGTGCAACTAACATTTCCAGGGCCGCCTTTTTCTGCCATGCAACCTTTTCCTGAAACTTGCTTGGTTGATTTACTTCTTCCATGTATAGAGGTGTAACATACTCAGAGTAACGAATTATGAAACGTTATTGACAATAACGTTTTATGTTTGTTTACTCTGTTAGATTTTTGTCTTTTTGTTGTTGAATTTTCTTGAATAAAATATTACCTAAAACTTTACTGAGAACTACGTTTATAATAGTTTAGTAAAATTACAAAAAAACATATTATCCTGGTAACTTAATTTTAATAATGGCCTGCTTTGCTCAAAAATACACACCAGCAAACTACAAGTCCGTAACTCAAGTATAAGTAAATATTCTAAGTTCACATGTATGCAGGAAAAATCAAATTCCTCCATTTTTTCCTCTTAACTACAAATACTGCGCCCCTAAAACATGTTGAACAACTTGAACTCAGTTCTCTTCCAAATCAATCCCGTTTCCTCAACAATGTTACACTACTATATTAGGAAGAAGAAAATCAACTCCGCAAGTTTCAGAAAAGAAAGGGGTTACATGTGAGGCGAAGCTGGCCCTGAGAATGCCAGTTGCACCAACAAAGGAAACACCTTTGTACGTGCAACTAGCATTTCCAGGACCACTTTTGCCTCATATGCAACCTTTTCTTAAAGGTGCTAGGATAATTTTCTTCTTTTCGGTATAGTAATATAATATTTTTTGGGCAAATGGAATTGATTTGGAAATTGGAATAGAACTCCTTTGAGTTGTTTAGCATGTTTTAGGTGCTGTATTTTTAGTTAAGAAGGAAAAAAAAAATGAAGGAATTTGATTTCTCTTACTTGTCAAAAGCAATCAATTATCTTTGTTTGGTCTCATGCAAAGATTGCCAAAAGTGGACAATGTGGTACTTCCTTAGGTTTTCTTCTCTTTTAGAAAGAAATATAGACTTCCATTTTCAATACTAAAAGAGGAATTCATAAATGAAATGACATTATAGTGGTGACTTGCACATAAAACATCCTATTGATGGAGTCAGCGTAGGGTAAAGTGACTGCATGCTTTACTACTACCTCGTGGAGATAGAAAGAATGTTTTCTGAAAGACTTGCAACGCAAATACAACAAATTTAAGTATACAAAAGAAGAAAATAGGAAGTAAACATAACAACCAATAAGTTAAGCAATAGAAAGCCTGCAAAAAAAGAAATATAAACAACAACAATACCAGATGATGTTGGTGACATTCCATTCCATACCTTATAATTTCCCATTCTCCTTCCCCTCCACCTATTAACACCTCAATAAAACAAGTACGCCATAAGATGGACTAAAATTGAGCCCAATCAGTTGAGAAATTTAAAAATAAAGGAACTATTTTTAGTGAATCGATTCTTTAAAAGGAATTAGAGAATACTGCAGAAAAAACATAACTCATCGTGGATTCAAAGTTTAGACATAGACTTTCACTTGGAATTACAAGACGTGATTATTTTCTGATTCAAATTTTTTTTTTTTTGACAAAGTAGAAGAAGTTCAAACTCACCGAATGTTGCAAAGAGTTCTAGAGAACAATAGGAAATTAATCCAATTTCTTCTACGCCATCTCACCTACTCGATAAAATATAATTAACAGAAACACATGCTATGATCAATCGGAAACATATATAAAATAATTTCACAAGAATAGTAGAAGAGGATAACATTATGGATGTGAAATCAATAGATTAAAATAAAAGGTTATGTATAATTGACTTTTCTTGTTTTATCAATAGAATTCATCCGTTAAAAACAACACTAAACCATTACCATGTAATACCAAAATGAATTCAATGAAGTGTATAATATATTACACAAAAAACATGCTGAATAACTTGACTCAATTGTCTACCAAATCAGTATCATTTTCAGCAAAAATGTTCCACTACATACAGGGAAGAAGAAAATCACCTAAGCAAGTTTCAGAAAAGGTTGCTTGCCGGACAAAGGTGATCCCGAAAATGCAAGTTGGTCCAACAGTATTGTCGTCTGACAAACATGGAGAAATGGTTTGCTAAAATCCATGAGCCAAACTGTAGCCCTCTCTTGAACTCCACTCACTGTGTGTCATTAAATAACTAGAGCCAGCTTGGTTTTTGTGTGCACGTGATTGGGAAAATAGAAAATTGAGTTGGACCTTATCACCACAATATTTGTATGCAACCATGCCAAAGGCGAGGGCTATAGTTTAGGCTCATGGATTTCAGCCCCCCAATTCGCCAATGTATGACGGAGGACAATCCTGTTGGTGCAGCTCGCATTTTCAAGGTTACCTTTGCCCACCTAGCAACTTTTCCTAAACTTTCTTGGGTGACTGTCTTTCTTTACCATTTAGTAGTGTGACATTTTGGGTGAGTCCTTCAGCATTTTTTTGAGGCGGTATGTATTAGAGCAAGCTCAAACTTACCAAAATGCCGCAGGGAATGTAAGAAACTAAATCAACTTCTTCTACCCCATTTCACCTTCTTCATGAAACTAAACACAAATAGTAAATTTCAAGTAGTGCATTCACCTCCTAAATGAAAATTTAATTAACACAAACACATACAGTTTGAACTGTAGCAAAGAAAAAAAATCATGAATTGAAAGTTTAGATATATAATTTTCCTTGTTTTTGTTCTATAAGTGGGAATTTTTTTTTATGAAACGCAGATAGATCAAACTCACCGGAACCTGCGGAGATTTCGAGCGAAAACTTATTAACTTAATCCAATTTCTTCTACCCCATTTCACACTGAAAAAAAATACATGAAAACTGCAACAAAAACAACATTCATGGTATATCCAAAGTTTCGATATCAAATCAAAGTGCAGGTAGATCAAACTCACCAAAATCCTGCGGAGATTTCGAGTTTTGAGTTTCTATATCAAATTTAAGTGCAAGTAGATCAAAACTACCAACAAACTGCGGAGAATTCGAGAGAAAATTAGTAAATTCACCCAATTTCTTCCACGCCCATTAAAAAAATATACCTGAAAACTGCAGAAAAACAACATTCATCATTGATTCAAAGTTTAGAAATCAAAATTTTTTAGATATCAATTTTTCCCTATTTGTGAATCTGAAAAACAATTGATGAAGAATTTGGGAAAACTAAGCGCTATTTATAGTGGGATTACCGCTTGGAGGAGAAACAAAAACCAGGAGCCAAAAATCCACGGTAATTTAATTGAAATATAAAAACAAAAACGGTTAAGTTCTTCAAATTAAAAAGGCGAGTAGGTTAAGAAAAAATAAATTAAAATATTATTGTTTTAAAAAAAAGTATAACGTATTACACGTGACTATCACGTTTCTAAAGCTCTTCCAAAATGCTCTAGAGAATTCACGAGAAAAAAATGTGTTTTTATTTATTTTTTTATTTTTCTTGAGTGTTTGACTAAATTTGAATAGTATATTGTATCTATTCTAAAAGGTGATGTTTCCAATTGGGTTATAAAAAAAAAATTATAGATTTAGAATGTGAATATACAATAAAATTACATATATAAAATATCTTTATCCTATGTTTATTGATGTAGAGAATATTTTTCAAATAAAAAGAGGGGGTTTCTTTTCAAGTTTTTGTGTTTGATCATAATTGATATAGGAAATTCATGCAACTCATATATAATATGACTAGTTCTCGAACACGTACGTTGTATGTGTATTCCATGTTATTTAATACAAAATATTTCAAATGATATAATTATTTTAGAATAATTGATGCATTATACAATATTTAAATGGTAAAATGATATTTTTGATAAAATATTCAACTAAGGTTGCAAGATCAATTGAATTTGTAGAATTTCTGATTCTAGTGATAAATTTTTTTTTCTTTTAATCATGTGGGATACACTATATTTATTGGTAAAAAAACATTACTACTTCAATTATATGATTTGTCAAGATTGTCAAATATCTAAAACTATAGTTTCATACAAAATGAAAGAAGTTAATTAAATAAAGCAATATATCAATAAGAAAAAAATGACCTATGAATAAAAGATTACACAAGAACTATAAGATGTGAAAATATAAAGTGTAATGGATTAATATTTTCTATTCAATTTATAAAGAGAGAAATTGTGTATATGAAAGGTTGTGAATTAATGTATTTAATTTTAGAAGCTAAAAAGTTTAGGAATTAAAGTCATTAAGAAGTGAAAAATAATAAATTGTAACATCTAACCATATATTCTCTTCATTTAAATATTGATATTGTATGAATCTCTCCACTCAAACATTTCTCTTCATATGCTCTAATGTTTAAGTTTTTTTAATCTAAAACGGTAATTGTTTTATGTGCTCAAAATTCAGCAATTAAGAAGAAAAATTGTTAATGCAACTCAATGATAATGGCAAAAGGAATACTCATAAATGCATTTCAAATTATTAAGGTAACATTTTAATTAGTGGTATATAAAAAGTTTTCTATTATGAAACTTAAATTACTATTTAATAATAATAATAATCAATAATAATAATATAATAGTATTATTGTAGTAACTCAACTATATAGGGTTATTTGATATTTCAACTACATTGCATGAGCAAAAATACATTATATACGTACTTTAAATGTCTTGTGTATACTTTCATTTTATAATTTTTTTCTTATGAACACTATTTATCTCTGTCAAAAGAATATTTGACACTCAACTATTTAAAAGTTAAATAATGTGTACCTAAGTTTGTTTTAATATTTATGAATTTAATGTGGAGCTTTGATATCACTATATATAGATGAGACAAATGAGTGGTAGAGTTATGTTGATAGAGTTTTACGAGAAACAAAGATTTAACTATCGATACGATAGTTTATTGTATCGGTCTTATTTGTGATGATTTGAAGCTTGCGAATGATTAATTTGAATGTGGAGCTAAAGACATTGTCGTTGGAGGTTCCAAGTATTGAAGAAGACAATGTTATTATCACAAGAAAGTGACTCTCTTCTTCAAACTTTAACGGCCATTTACATTATTTCACAGTTCAAGGACAAATTTAATTATTTTTCACTACACAAAATATTGATATATTAGAGAGCTTCCAATTAATAAATGAGAACATATTTGGACCAACCTTATAATATTTTGTAACGATGATTTTTTTTCAACACTCTTATACGTAAACAAAAACACCTATACCTTCTTGCAACTATTATACCTCAATCACTGTTTATTTTTATCTATCTACTTAAACCATCACATTCTCATAAGTTTTATAACCAAACAATTTCTCTATTTGTATTTGAACACATCTTGATATTAAATTGGCTTAAACAAACCTATTATTAAATGAAAATAAATGTTTAATCAATTCATTATGAAAGTGTATTGAAGTATATAATTTAAATAAAGAAAAATAATAATAAATTAATAACGTATGAAACTCGCGAAAAAAATAAATAAATATACTAGGCATGTATTTGAGGAGAAAAAAAAATAAATATAAATTGATTCCCTCTTCTCATTCAACAAAATCTTCCCTCTTTCTTAAATTGCTTCACTCCCCTTAAAAAAAACTTCATCTTTAGTTCCAAGCTCCAATTTCACAAAAATGGGGAACCCTAAGAGACAATCCAATGATAGGAACGAAGAACTGCACGCGGCGGCTCGATGTGGGGATCTTAACGCTGTTCAAACACTATGCAGCACCAATCCTTTAGCTGTCAACACTAGGGATAAACACTCTCGTACACCGTATGTTTTCGTTAATCTCCTTCTTCAAAAGTAAAACTTTTTATCGTTTATATGTTTGTTTTGATGAATTTAGACTTGAAAAGGAAATGGGGTTTCACAAAATGGGTAGTTGAAGGTGGGATCGTAGTAATAGGGTCTAATTCATTGCTAAAACAGCTAAATTCGGATTTTTGGGATTCGATGAAATGATTGAAGATGTAATTATGAAGATTTTGGTAGTGGGTATTTCTAGTTTGGGAATAAACGAGAAAATAAAAAGGAATTGAGAGTTAATTGGGGAATGTTCATTTGTGCCAACTGCACATTTGTACTATCATGGCGAAAGAGTAATGAGTCTGCATCTACTGGTTTAAAATCTAGGGTCCCCTCGGAGTAGTTAAGGTGATAAGCAAGGTGGGAATGGGGTTTCGCGTGGTATCTAAGGTGAGATGTATCTGAGAGCTAATTGGGGAATGTTGTTTTGTGGTAAGAGCACATTTGTACCATTGCTGCGAAAGAGTACTGAGTTTGCACTCACTGGATTGAAATCTAGGGTCCATTGTGGAGTAGCTAAGGTGATAAGCAAGGGCAGAACACTTGTCGTTTATAGAAAATCATATATTTTCGTTGGTGGGAACTATGAGGGTGTAATACATTGCTGAATATCTTAATTTGAATTGTAGTATCAAGAAAATGATTGAAGATGGAATTATGAATCTTTTTGATGGTGGGTATTTCTAGAATTTCACTTTAACGAACTTATCCAGAAAAAAAGGAATTGGGAAATGTTAAGGAGCTAATTGGCGAATGTTGTTTTGTGGCAACAACACATTTGTATCCATTGTGGCAAAAGAGTAGTGGGTCTGTATCCACTGATTTGAATCTAGGGTCCTTCTCTGAGTAGCTAAGGTGATAAGCAAAGGACAAAACACCATTTTGTCGTCACCGCAAGTGTATTATTAGCTAAATTTAGATAGAAGTTGAGAATATTTGGTTTCCTGAATAACTGTTACTTTGTATTTCCTATTAAGAAGATTGTAAATCCACCAGTTTTGATAGAAGTAACTAAGATTCGACATTAACTTTTTGAGGCATTTCTGATTTTATTTCTCACTGTAAATGCTGGTTTCCTTTTATACCTATGACTTAAGTTGTGATAAGAGACTTCTGATTGATTTTAGTTTTGCTACATTATTGACACAAAACCTTGTTTATGCCGGAAGTGTGAATGTTATTCTGAATGTATATATGCAAGTCTCAGAAAATATATAGATTTCTGCAGATGTTTTTCAAGTCAAACTTCTAAGCTGCTAGCTTTGGTATTCGAGATTATTCACATCCCTTTTTACCATATTTGAAGTCTCATCCATGTAACCTGTAGCTATGCTAAAAAACTGACTGTTAGTTTTAGGTCACATTATATGTCATTTTACAAACTTCTCAGTAAATCTGAAGGAACCAGGGAGGCCTTGATCTTTCACAATTTCTGTTCATATGTATCTGTGTCCTTTTTTTCTAACCGAGAAATCCATCTAAATCAGAACGTTGGGCCAACTGCAGCCCCCGAAACTCGAAGATGATGAGTCCACCCCTCTACCCTTATTCACTTAAAAATACCAGAGTTTGTTTGCTTCAGTTGTGGCAGGGCTTGATTCTGTGACCTAAGATACAAGTCTCCCAACCTTGGCCGATTGAGGGGTTACCCCCGGGGCAATATATTACATTTTATCCTCTTCTACCATACTTTTAGCTTTAAGAATTACTTCAAGGGCATGGCACCTGTCAAAGTGAGGCTTTCTTTACCCATTTGGATGCTCGTTCCAATAAATAATTTCTAAGTTTGGTCTTTGTAACTTCTTTCATTTATGGAGAGACATCAAAACCTAAGCTGCTAGAACTTTGACCATGTTTCCTGCCCCTTGAGAAGTGCTACAGACCAAAAAAGAATATGTAGAATTTTCATCTGTATTACTTTTGTTTTAAGTGCTAAAAAACTTGACGTGACAATCTGAAGGAATGATTGTATCGAGGTCTGCCCATGGAGATAACCTTATAGGATATTCATTGGTATATGAGAAAAAACTTCATTCAGTGGAGCTTACACTCGGTCTCCTTATGTACTTATGATTTTAGAAGTAGGGAAAGGAAGTGCCTAAGGTGAATATATTGTAGTAAAACTCAAACATATGTGAAGAGTTTGCCATGAGCATGACTGCATGACAAAGAAAGGCAAGTTGTTCTGTTAGCAATACTTAAAGGGGATCTGCACAAAGTTTTTCGAGCAAAGATTTGTCTTTTGTGATTATCACAAGCCTAAGGTTGTGTGATTATCTCTTCTACTTTCTTAGCACTTGCTTTATGAGTGGTTTTATGCCTTTACATGTAAATTAATGCTCCAAATATATTCTGTGGCTATTGTTATATTTTTACTGGCTTTGTAACATTCACTCCCCACATTAACATACTGTTAGGTCAGAAAGATCCGCTTTGAGTTACCAAGAATATTCATTATAGAAAAAATCTACTTATTGTTGCTGACTATGAACATATTTTCTCCCTAGGCATAAGTATTGCACTCAAAGAGTTCTGTTTGATGGCCTAACAAAGATGTTGAGATAATAGAAAAAGATAACAAGGGATATACATTGGAAAAAAATGATTCATAACACTACATTTACAAGTGGGTTAGGTACTTGATAGAACAGTTGAGCTGGATGCAAACTAGACATTATCATTAAACTAAAAGAAAGTGAAAATCTATGATACTGCCTTTTGTAGGTTCAATAAATTCCTTTGGCTATAACTGAGAAGAAAGGATGGAAACATATTGTTTTATGATATTGCTTTATCTCTGTAAGTTCCCTTTGTATCTGACTTGGTTCTCACCACTATCACCAACATTTCATTACCTGATATATCTCATCGGTAATTTCCTTTTTTTCTGAAGATATTTTATTTAACTACTTAATTGATGGCACTTTTGTGGTTTGGTTTTCAATTTCTTTGCTCTTGAGATTCTGACCCCTGCTGACTTCAATACTACCATAATGTGGCCAGTTTTGGATGTCCCTCTGTGCTTTATTTTGGTTATAACTGGTAGTGTCTTTCCTTTTTTTCCCAACTCTCAAGTGAACCGAGTCACTTTGATCCAGTAATTTCTCATATCACTTTGCTTTACTTTTTATTTGTAAATTGATTCGCCTTGTTTAATGCATTTTAAAACGGTCTTCAGGCTCCATCTAGCAGCATGGTCTGGCCATGCCCAGATTGTGGATTATCTCTGCAAAAACAAAGCTGATGTTGGGGCTGCTGCTATGGATGACATGGGTGCAATTCACTTTGCTGCTCAAAAAGGTCATTTAGAAGTTGTTAGGCTTCTTGTTAGTTCTGGAGTGTCTGTCAAATCATGCAACCGCAAGGGTATGACTGCCCTTCATTATGCTGCCCAAGGGTCTCACCTAGAACTCGTCAAATATTTGCTGAAGAAAGGTTCAAATGTTAACACTAAAAACAAGGCAGGGAAAACATCCCTTGATCTCGCAAGCAATGAAGAAGTCAGCTCCATTTTACGTCAACCTGAAACTGCATCCTCCAAAGAAGCTCTAAATGATGAAGAGAACAAGGTTGAATCAGAACCAAAGTCCTCTTCGCAGGAGGAGAAGTTAGAGAAAGCTGCTACAAGTGAGGAAGGGGAAATTGTGGCTGGGAAAGATGAATCGCTCAAGAGAAAGGGTGACGAAGATGAAACCAAGGATAAGTCAAAAGAAACAAAGAAGGCGAAAGTCGCTTTAAATCATCTTCTAACCTCAGATGACAACCAAGAAGATGAAGAGAACTTTTGAAAACCTAATCAAGTGTTAGTGACAGAGTAGTTCACCAAGAGAATCTTATAGATATGTGTTATTTTCATTTAAAAGAACAAACCATCGGCTTTATGCTATCGTGTAACTTGAGTTGGTGAGTGGAAACTTTCCTCCTGACTTGTCATCGATTTTCATTTATATACCCCTGAATTTGCAGTTCTTCCCCAGACCTGAGTGAACATGGGGTTGTTTTGTGCACCAGATTTCTTTTTACTATTGCTCAATTGAAGCCCAGAAACTGTTCATGTTACCCTCTAAAAGTAAGTTGTGTTTGCCAAGTGTGAAGGAAAGTTAAGTCAAACCACTAGTGCAAATCTAATATTTGTTGAAAATTTTAGCAGGTTTGCACGTATATATTATGTTTCACTTCAAAAGTACTGGGTTCAGATAGATATGTTGTTAAAGTGGGTGAGTTGATTCCATCGACTTAATTATGTATTTATAAGATACCCTTCTCTTTCAAGAGGATTCGCAACATGTCAAAACTCCAATAAAGTTCATCACTTTTCATTTGCATAAAATGAAATGACAATTCATTAGCTAGTATTTGTTTACTTCATCACTTGTTCAAATTGTCGTGTCCAAGAGAAGTTTGGGCCATTTTATAACAATTTTAGTTTTCCAGAGTTGCTTAAGGTTCACAAATTGAAGTTCTTTTTTTGTTTTTTACCAATGAACATTCATTAATGGCAGATCAAATTCCAGTTCATTTGCACATACATGTCGCTGAAGGTGAGAGTTATTATTGTTGTTTATGAATTTTTGATTATAAATTGTGTTCCCCTAAAGCAAACCACGTAACAAATACCCTGCATAACTCTAACGAAAAGAAAAATAAATTGTCTGCAAAAACAATATCAGTCACTAGGAGATAGCCTTCCTGATTGAAACTCAAGAAAAGACATGAACAAGGAACCCTAATGAATTTTCAATATAGCTTATGTATTTTTGTTAAGTACTGTTGTTAATTCATCTAAACAGCACTTGACCGTCCATAAGCACACATTAAATCACACAAGTAACAAATCAAAAAATAATATTAGTTTAGTTTACACTCTAATTTATCAAATTGGCCTCAGAATTGCAGAATTAACATCAAGGTACTAAAAAATACCATTCAGTCCCGAAAGATGGTGTTTTTTCATAATAGATCTCCTCATAGGCCAAAATTTGATCTTTAAGAAAAAAATGTACTTCTCATGGCAATTCCCAAATAGTAATAGCAGAGATTCTGCTCTACAAGGCTATAGGATATGAGAATACCATTTTCGGATAATAAAGCAAATATGATTCTGCTAAAAAATCAACAAAAATGGCTTTATTTCTGATGATTTCTTTCACATTTTGGATTATGCGGCTATCAAAATCAAACCCGCCCCAAATTCTAAAGTGAATCATCAGGTTATATTTTTCAAAAAATTCAATAAAAACTCGACTTCAAGAACAAAATATATATAATTATGCAGACACAACTCAACAAATTCATTAACTTCAAACAATCGGGAAAAATGGAAGAATAAGGTTCCAGCGATGGAAGAAGGGAAGGGACGATGTGAAGGTTTTATAGATGGGAAATTATAGGTCTGGATGGCGGCGTAATTTTGGGCTTTTTTTCAAATCATATTAGGTCAAATTTGAATGTGGGCCGATTTTTCGGTTTTAGAAGCCCTAAATGTTCACAACAGCAATAACCAAAGTGTATGTAAATACATTATATTATTAAGTTTGAAGTTAGAGCGGTTATTTCTGATAGATTAGATTGTTTTATTATAATATAAATAAAAGTATAAAAAAGTAAATGAAATATTGCTCAACTATCTAATTAACATCTTACATTAATTTTGGGACTCGTTTAGTATGAGAAATAAGAAAGAATTAATTTTAAATTATTTAGAACAAGTTTATTTCGATATATACTTATTTCAAAATTAATTATTCTAAAATCATAATATTATTCATATTTATATTGCAGATAAATAATAACTAATCTCAAATAACTTATTTCTGACCTAATGATATTTTACTACTAAAAAAGTATACTTAATTGGACTAGTTTGAGAACCCATCCAAAATATAAAACCATTTTCAGCCTCTTCTTCTTTCCCAAAGGCAAGCGTGACCATAGAGATTTACAACTTAATTATTATTCTTTTTGAAAAAAAAAAGTAATTTTAATTTGTTTTTATTTTTGTTTTTTTCATTCAGGTTGGATGCTTGAAAATTGCTACTATTTATATTTAATTGCGACCAATAATCAAGAACGAAAGACTATTTAACAGTTCCGCTCGTAATAAAGTAGCCCTTTTTTCACTACAGTTTCATCCACTTGTACATTTATCTGCCCATGTTGCTGTGGAGTTTAGATCCATTTAGGGGTGCACATCAGGTGGGTCTTTTATTTGACTTCAAAAACACATAAATTTTCTACAATGTTCTTTTAGTTATGAAAAAAGAGAATCACTTATAGTTTTGTATATTGATAAATAGTGACAGCTCAAATTGAAAAAGTAAACATATAATTCAGATAGAAAGCTCACATAAACTTGATATTTAGTTGGAGAAAAAAATATTAGGTGATTGTTCTCATCTTCTGGCGGCTGTTGTCGGAGAGAAGTGGTAGATATTCCACGTAATTAGTCGAGATGTACCAAAGTTAGTTGGTCCAATCATACACCGATGAAAATCTAGCAGTTAGTCTGTCCAATAGCAATAAATCCACCCCATCTGAATGATTAACTATTATCATAACCACTATTCTGTCCGAACCACACTGTTCATTCCTTTCTTCTCAAGTTTCAACTAGTTAACTGAATTAATGGCATCATTTAGTAATTCACAATACTGTTCTCCGCGGAAGTATGATGTCTTTCTAAGTTTCAGAGGTGAAGATACTCGTAGAACATTTACGAGTCACTTGTACGAAGGTTTGAAAAACAGGGGAATATTCACTTTTCAAGACGTGAAAAGGCTAGATCATGGCGATTCGATTCCAGAAGAACTCGTGAAAGCTATCAAAGAGTCTCAAGTTTCCCTCGTAGTTTTCTCGAAGAATTATGGTGCATCGAGGTGGTCCTTGAATGAACTAGTGGAGATCATGGAACGTAAGGATAAAAATGGACAAACTGTTATACCGGTTTTCTATGATGTGGATCCATCACATGTTCGAAACCAAACGGAGAGCTTTGGAGAAGCATTTTCCAAACACGAATCGAAGTATAAAGATGATGTCGAGGCAATGAAGAAAGTGAAAAGATGGAGGACTGCCTTAACTGTTGTGGCAAATCTAAAAGGATATGATATTCGTGACGGGTGAGTTAAACACACATATTTGCTTTTAATGGAAGAGTTTCCATCAATTTAAATCATAATCGATATTCTTATTTATGTAGGATTGAATCAGAGAAGATTCAACTGATCGTGGACTACATTTCTACCAAATTATGCAAGAGTGTGTATTCTTTATCTTCTTTGCAAGATGTTGTGGGAATAAATGCTCATTTAGAGAAACTAAAATCCCGGCTTCAGATAGAAATCAACGATGTTCGGATTATAGGGATTTGGGGAATAGGTGGAGTTGGTAAAACAACGCTAGCTAAAGCCATCTTTGATACCTTATCTTGTCAATTTAAAGCTGCTTGTTTTCTTGCAGATGTTAAAGAAAATGCAAAAAGGAATCAAATACATTCTTTACAAAATATCCTTCTATCTGAACTTTTAAGAAAAAAATATGATTACGTTAGTAATAAGTACGAAGGGAAGAGCATAATTCCGAGCAGACTTTGTTCAATGAAGGTTCTAATTGTGCTCGACGACATAGATCATAGTGATCATTTGGAGTATTTAGCAGGTGATCTTCGTTGGTTCGGTAATGGTAGCAGAGTTATTGTAACAACTAGAAATAGACATTTGATAGAGAAGGATGATGCGATATATGAAGTGCCTACATTACCTGATGATGAAGCTATGCAATTGTTCAATCAACATGCTTTCAAAAAAGAAGTTCCAGATGAGCGTTTTAAGAAGTTCTCGTTGGAGTTAGTAAATTATGCTAAAGGTCTTCCGTTAGCCCTCAAGGTGTGGGGTTTGTTGTTGCATAAGAAAGGCCTAACTCAGTGGGGAAGAACTGTAGACCAAATAAAGAATAACTCGATTTCAGAAATTGTCGAAAAACTCAAAATAAGTTATGATGGACTGGAACCCGAAGAGCAAAAGATGTTTCTAGATATAGCATGTTTCTTCCGAGGATATGAGAAAAAAGAAGTCATTCAAATCCTTCAAAGTTGTGATTTTGGTGTTGAATACGGATTGGATGTCCTAATCGACAAATCTCTTGTTTTCATCTCCAAAAATGATACGATTGAAATGCATGACTTGATTCAAGATATGGGTAGATATGTGGTGAAAATGCAAAAAGATTCGGGAGAACAGAGCAGACTATGGGCCGCTGAAGATTTCGAAGAAGTAATAGTCAACAATACAGTAAGTAGGCTAAACAATGCAATACTATTCAATTTCTGTTTTTCATATTCCTAAGACATATAGGGCAATCAACTCCAGTTATTTGTTCCTCTTGCTTCATATTCTTGCAAATACGCCATTTGAGTTGTTTACTTTAGTAGGAGAAGCAAAAGTAACATAAATTTCATAACGTGGCTAATTCGTCAAGTAGGCATTTTTAAATAACACTGCCTAGTTCTTTTATCTTATGTTATTAAGCCATGAATTAGTCTAGTAGCCGTTCAATATTGTTTAACCCAAGTTCATTCTTTGGACTAACTTCAAATTTGTACGATATTTGGACTCAAAGTTATGCTTCGTACACTAATGCTCCTTTTATCAGGGGACGAAAGCAGTGGAAGCAATCTGGCTACATTATATTCAAAATCTATGCTTAAGCAAAAAAGCCATGAAAAAGATGAAAAAGCTTAGAGTACTATACATCGGTCGTTTTCATACACATGATGATACAATTGAGTACCTGCCCAACAACTTGCGTTGGTTTGAGTGTATTTGGTATCCTTGGAAATCATTGCCAGAAAATTTTGAACCCAAAAGACTTGTTCATCTTGATCTCCAGTACAGTATGCTGCATTATTTATGGATTGGCACAAAGGTACAATTGCTGAATTCAGTTTTTTTTTGTGTGTGTGGTTAAATACATAGGTAGACGACACTCAATGTTGACAACAAGTGTTAATTAGACATCTTAACTATTCTAGTGACCATAAACACACCTTTGATTGATGTAACTTCGTAAGTTGTCTTTTGAATACCCCAACCTGAATTGGCAACGGCGTGAAATACAAGTGCTTCGTGTTGAGTGTCTTAATAACCAGCGAGAAGAGTAGGGGATACTTGAGACAATTGCAACATTCAAGTGTGCACCGAATAAAAACATGTCAAGTTTAAGGGGGTGTAGGTATTCTGCCTTTTTCTGAACATGTAATTCCATATAAATGTAAACTTAAACAATTTCTAATTTCACATGTTGACACTCATAATCTAAATGTTGTTAGTTTTAGTCTAAGGAGTAAATTTAACACAAAGGTCATTCTTTCTGTGTTTTGTATATAGCAGCATTTTTTAGTCTAAGGAGTAAATTTAACACAAAGGTCATTCTTTCTGTGTTTTGTATATAGCAGCATTTTCCGTCTCTACGAAGGATAAATCTCAACTTCTCTAGAAGCCTGATACGAACACCAGATTTCACGGGGATGCCAAATTTGGAGTATTTAAATCTGGAGGGATGTAGCAATCTCGAAGAGGTTCACCATTCCCTGGGATGTTCCAGGAAACTCATCGAGTTAAATTTGAGTTGGTGTGTAAGCCTTAAGAGGTTTCCATGTGTTAACGTGGAATCTCTTGAATCTCTAAATCTACAACATTGCTCTAGTTTAGAGAAATTTCCTGAAATCCTCGGAAGAATCAAGCCGTTGGAGTTAGATATTCAAATGAGAAAAAATGTGATAGGAGAACTACCATCATCTGTTTCTCAGCACCAAGCGCGTCTTACAGAACTAGATTTAAGCTTTTTGATCAACATTGTAGCTCTTCCAAGCAGCATTGGCATGTTGAAAGGTTTGGTAAAGCTACATGTGCGGTACTGCTCAAAACTTGAAATCTTGCCAGAAGAGATAGGTGATTTAGAAAACTTGGAGAAGCTTGATGCCAGCTATAGTAGGCTAATCTCGCAGCCTCCGGCTTCCATCATCCGCTTGAACAAGCTTAAATTCTTGAGTTTTGAGAAAGGAAATACAAAAGTAGGCCATAAGGATGGAGTGTGCTTTGTGTTTCCGCAGGTAAATGAAGGGTTATGCTCATTGGAATATCTGAATCTCAATTACTGCAATCTAGTTGATGGAGGACTTCCGGAAGACATCGGATCTTTATCCTCATTAAAAGAGTTGTATCTCTGGGGAAATAATTTTGAGCATTTGCCTCGAAGCATGTCCCAACTTGGCGCTCTTAAATTCTTGAATTTATCACACTGCAAGAAGCTTAAAGAGTTGCCAGGTTTCACGGGGATGCCAAACTTGGAGACTTTGAATCTGATAAAATGTATGAATCTTGAAGAGATTCATCATTCCCTGGGATTTCTCAAAAATCTCTGTAGATTAACATTGACTAACTGTATACAACTTAAGAGGTTTCCAGGTCTGTGCATCGATTCTCTGAAGTATCTGTGTCTACGGGATTGCTCTAGTTTAGAAGAATTTCCAGAAATCTTCGGAAGCATGAAACTGAAGTCGGACATTCACATGCTAGACAGTGTATTGAGGGACCTAAATTCAATGTATATTTCATTTCCACGTTCCTTGTCTCAGGATATCGTTTCGTTGCAGCAAGGCATCATCTCCGCTTCAGATTCCTTGTCACTAAGAGTGTTTACCGTTGTGCATTGTGGGAATAAGATCCCAAGTTGGTTCCACCATCGGGGAACAGGTAAAACTGTATCTGTCAACTTGCCTGAAAATTGGTATGTACGTGATGAGTTGCTGGGATTTGCTGTATGTTACTCTGGCAACCTAATTGACACCACAGCTCACTTGATTCCCATACGTGATGAGGGAATGCCGTGGATGACCCAAAAACTAGAATTATCCTCTCTTCCAAATTATGATACAGGATGTACTATTCATTTTTTCTTGGTACCTCTTGCTAGCTTATGGGATACATCTACCGCAAATGGTAATACACCAAACGACTATGGGCTTATTACGTTTTCTTTCTCCGGAGGAATGGAGGAGTATGGATTTCGTTCGTTGTATAAAGATGAATTCGAGGGAAAATACTGATGAGCATTGCATATTTGCATTGGGACAAGGACGAGCAGATATGATTTTATCAGGTATTTTAACTTTTCATAGACTGATAAATGGAGACAGTAACTTTTAATAAAGATTTTATTTTCCTTTTTTATATCCCGTTCAATCCACCTGCTTATGTGTTATTTCCAAACAAGTGAGATCAAATATGAAAATCACCAGCCTTATTAAGACACTCAAACTTGATCTCAGATGACAAGCAAGCACCCTAACTTTGAGTATACACATCTAGACACCTCAACTTATAAAAAATAGATTTCTTTTTAGCACATTCCAAGTTCGTTAAAGGCCTTCTTATTATATTCATTTGTTGAATCTTATTTTTGTGCAGATTGGTGACAGTTGACTACGGCTGCACTTAGACGAAGAAGTATGTAGATATGAGTTACAGTGAGTTTCCGACTCTAGGGGTAAGGCTGCATACACATAACCCTCCTCCCCATATTCCACTTGTGAGATCTCATTGCATATGTTGTTGTTCTTGTTATTGTAATTCTTGTTTCATGTCAACTGAGGTTGAGTTTATCATCAAAACTTTGCAAGAACAAAAACTAGAATATGTATAAACCACCCTGTAATGTTGTTCTGAGATTTTATATTCAAATTTGGTTTGTCTGAACTTTAAAGGGGTTATTCGAATATTATTGTACATATTGTTTATAGGATGTTATTTGTAAATATTATGTATCCCATTCAGCCCCATTGTTTCTCACAGCAAAATGCGTTCTCTTTCATATTTTGTTCAGCATAAGCATAGATTGTCTTGCATTAAGACTAAATCATTTCAAACTTTTTAGAGTACTGGACTTGGAGAAAGTTAGCTGCTACGATTTACCTAGTGAATTAGTACACCTATCTTCATAAAGGTATTTGGCTATGATGGTTTGTACTATTCCTAAAGATCTAAAATTTCCAAAATTTGGAATTAACAAACCTTTTGTTGTTTCCATCAACATTATCGAGGAAAAAACGCCACCATTACTTTATCAAATGGGATTCCTGCAGATATTATGATTTCACTGCTCATTTGTAAAACAACTAATCCCCAAATCATAAAATTGCTGTAAAAGTAGAATTGAGAGAGCAATTCTCTTAGGTGTAACTGTGATATTCTCCCTTTCTTTGTTAATAAAATATAAAAGCAGTTGTTCTCTAATGGACGTAGGGTCACATTGATCCTAACCACGTTAACTCTTTCTTTTTCTTTTACTTCTCCGCTAACTCCTCTTTTCTTTTGAGGCTGTGTAAGGGTGCGTAAACTTTTCGGAAGCTTACCAGGTCAAAGAAGACTCAGTAGCTTGAACAAGATAATTTTTTCCTTAAAAATAATCAAGTCAACTATTATAAATGGCTAGTTGATCTGTAATAGTTATATAATATGCTAGTTGACTTTCCAGCTTTATTAGAAAATGCAATTTGCAATATAGATATGTTTTAGAAAACTTCGAGCAATTACTAGTATTTTATACCCTGACCAGCTCAGTTGATAATGATATACTTGTAAATCGAATCTCTTCATTCACAAATCTTGTATAGAGTTAGAAACGGAGATGGCTGCTTACTCTGCTGTAACTTCTCTGATGGGAACAATGCACCTGATTTCGCAATCGGCCTTAGACTTTCATGAAAGTAACAAAGAATGTTCAAAATCACTCTACGAGAAGGTTGGTTCTCTGTTAGAGTTTCTTGACAATTCTGATAATGAACTGATGAAGGATCTGCAGAAAAAGGTGAAAGATGTAGTAAATGAAGTAGAAGATGAAGTCGAATCACAAATAGTGCGGATTATGGAGAAGGATGAACATATTCAAAGAGAGGCAAATGAGAGGCTTCGTGAGATCTTGGAACAAGCTATACAAGACATTTATTCTGTAAATCAAGAGCTCATCAAGCAGAGGAACAAGAATAACAATTCGCTATCTGGAAATCTTTCGATTGGTGGTTCTACTTCACCACGATCACGTGTTTCAACCCTTGAGAACGAAATGGTGGGACACATCAATGAACAAGCGAACATGCGGCGTCGGCTTATTACCGGGCACTCATCTCAACTGGAAGTCATCTCCATTGCTGGGATGGGAGGCATAGGCAAGTCAACTTTTGCCAAGAAGTTGTTTTCTGATCCCTCAGTTGTGGGATTCTTTGATGTTCGTGGATGGATTACTGTGTCCAAGGACTACAGCTCAAGAAAGATGCTCATATCCCTCCTTCAAGACGCAACTGGCGTGAAAGTAGAAATCAATCCCCAATATCAGGAGGTAGAAGTTATAAATGCAGAATTAGCAGATCGCTTGCAAAAAAGTTTCAAAGGTAAAAGGTATTTGATTGTTGTGGATGACATATGGAGCACGGAAGCCTGGGATGATATCAGTCAATGGTTTCCAGAAAACAACAATAGAAGCCGAATACTGTTGACTACTCGGAGCATGGAGGTTGCTCGACATGCTAGCTCTCCTAAAAATCCTTTTCAAATGCGTTTCCTAGATCCAGAAGAAAGTTGGAATTTGTTTTGCCAAAAGGCGTTCAGCAAAAAAGATTGTCCAGCTGAATTTGAGAGTGTTGGTAAGGTAGTTGTTGAAAATTGCAAAGGCTTGCCACTAATGATTTCTGTGGTTGCAGGGTCTCTTTCTAGCAAGAGGACGCTGAACGAGTGGAATGAAGTAGCTCAAAGTGTAAGCTCATTAGTAAACCTTGATGATTATCAACGTTGCTCAGGTGTGCTCGCTTTGAGCTACAATCATCTTCCTCCCGACTTGAAAGTTTGTTTTCTGTATTTCGGAGTTTTCAAAAAAGCTAGTGAAATTTCTGTGGAAAATTTGATCAGATTATGGATGGCAGAAGGACTCTTTAAGCTGAGGGGGATTAGGGATTTGGAAAAAGAGGCTTGTAGTCTACTACATGATCTTATTGATAGAAGTTTGATTGTTGTTTGCAAGCATAGTTTGGATGGCAAAATCAAGACATGTAGGATTCATGATCTTCTCCATGATTTATGCTTGAGAGAATCTGAAAGTGAGAGTCTTTTGTATGTTTCGAATCCCTCACTTTCAGCAACCAACATTCCTCAAGATCGCCGGTGGGTTTCATTTCCTCAAGAGCCAGCGCGAGATTTTTTTTCTCTTCCCTTCCTTACTTATGGTAAAATACGTTCTCTTCATTTTCTTGCGGTAAAACCGTACAATCTTGAATTTGAATTAGGATTAGACCGTTTCAAACTTATTAGAGTGTTGGACTTGCTGGGATCGGGCGTGTGGCATTTACCTAACGGATTATCAAACCTAGTTTCCTTAAGGTATTTGAGGGCTCATTGCAGTGGGTATCCACCAATTTATAAACTTCGGAATCTACAGTCTGTTAGTTTTCGTAAGGTTAATAAGTTTCAACCCATTGAGTTTCACTTACCAGATGGAACCTGGAAGATGTCTCAATTGAGGCATCTCGACTCTGCAAGTTTTTATTTGTGTTCTCCTCCAAAGGTAGATGGCAATAAGTACCGGGTTTTGGAAAACCTGCAAAGTGTTTACGGGTTGAGACCTGTTTGTTGCACAAAAGAAATGTTTGAAGGGATTAAAAAGGTGAAAAAATTGGGGATTTGTGGCCGGACTGGTCACTTTTATGATGCGCCCAAATGCCTAGATAATCTCATATATTTACCTGAGCTAGAGGTACTAAAAATCTTACTATACGACGCTTACGGAGTTGATTTCCTTCATAAGCATCCAGTTCCATGTGTGGGTTCTTTCCCACCGAATCTCAAGAAGCTGACACTTCAAGGAACTCATCTATTATGGTCGCAACTGACAATCATTAGCAAGTTGCCCAAACTCGAGGTGCTCCAATTGAAGGCATTACTGTTCTTTGGTGATGAGCTTGGAGAAACTGTCTGGGAAGTGTCAGATATGGGATTTCCTAAATTGAGATTTTTGCTCGTAGAGAATAAGGGTCTTAAGAACTGGAATGCCAGCGATGATTCTTTCCCATGCCTTGAGCGTGTAATTATCAAAAACTGCCGTTTCTTACAAGAGATTCCTAAAGGATTTTCAGATAGCATGACACTGAAGCGAATAGAGTTATGGGGATGTACTCCTTCCCTTGTGAATTTCGCTAAGGAGATCCAAGAAGAGCAAGAGATTTTGGGGAACAACATACTTCAAGTTTATGCCTATGACACAATTTGAGGTAAGTAAAATGACCATTTGATGAAATGTGTTACATCAGTAGATGAGAATTCTAAACTGTCTTTCGGTGTTATGGTATAGGTTACACTGCCCATATCGCCAATAGACATAAGAAAAGTTCAAGGCACAAATTGTCAGTATATTAAACCTAAAGGTAAATAACGAGGGAAGTGTAAAAAGCATTGCCAGCAATCTGAAGATCTCACAAGAAGCAATGTAATTATAACTTCTCATTCTTTGGAGTGAATGGCAGATAAATCTCGACAACTCTTTGTCAAAAATCCAGGGGATGAAGCCAACTTTTGTTGTAATTCACATTTTCTTGCCTCATTCAAGAGTAACTAAGCAGATGATGGAAATTCCTGTCCAAGAGAGACGCGAAATTTCAAGCTAAAGTGAATCAGTTGAGTTAGCTGTGATGTATTGTCTGTCAGATGTCTTAAGTTATTCTGCCAATAATTGTTCCTTGTTTGTACCTTTTTTTCTTTCTGTGTTTGATGATTTGATTGCTTGATTGTTCACAGAGTAATTTCTTGTTTTGATTGTGTTGATTTCGGATTAACTGTGTTAAATCCTTATATGAGAATTTAAAATTCACCTGATAGTTGTGATGTTATGTTTTGTGCTTAAATACTAATATATCGTTTAATGTAATGATATAAGGAAAGTTAACTGCCTTTCTAACTGCACAAAGGTTGGGGTAAGGTCTGCGTACACATTACCCACTTGGATTACTGTGTCCAAGGACTACAGCTTAAGAAAGATGCTCATATCCCTCCTTCAAGACACTATTGGCGTGAAAGTAGAAATCAATCAGGAGGAAGAAATTATAAATGCAGAATTAACGGATCGCTTGCAGAGAAGTCTCAAGAGAAGAAGGTATTTGATTGTTGTGGATGACATATGGAGCACGAAAGCCTGGGATGATATCAGTCAATGGTTTCCAGAAAAACAACAATAGAAGCCGAATACTGTTGACTATTCGGATCATGGAGGTTGCTCGTTATGCTAGCTATCCTAAGAATCCTTTTCAAATGCGTTTCCTAGATCCAAATGAAAGTTGGAATTTGTTTTGCCAAAAGGCGTTCAGCAGAACAGCTGAATTTGAGAGTGTTGGGATATGATTAGACAGAACATGGTACAGCTTCAGCTTATCGAGGACATGACCTTAAATAGGAGGGTGTGGGAGTCATGAATTAGGATAGAAGGTTAGTAGGTAGTGGAGTGTTCTCTTGCTTCGGAAGGGTTTGTCGTAGTATTTCTTTTATTCTTGTAATGTCTTGCTTTTGCTTTCTATCACTATCTGTTTTTGTTATGGTATTTCAATTATTGCATTATTTTGTTCTTGTTACTATTTTCTTCCGTATTAGTTGCTTCACTGTCTTTTTCCTATTTTATACGTACTTAAATTTGTTGTACTCGAGTCAAGAGTCTTTCAGAAACAGTCATTCTACCTCCACAAAATAGCAGTAATTTAATTGATTCATAAGCTCTTGTGAAAAAATGGTCAATCTCACCACCACCTCTATCACCTTCTACCATGACTGTGGTCAATTTTTACTACCAACTACTCCGTCGTCATAACTAGCATTGTTATCAACTACCATCACACATTGTTTAGTTACTATTATCAACGTTATGATCATTTACTAGTATCAACTTCACCAGTAGAATCACCATTATCAACTGCCACCATTACTTCAGTCTCTATAATAACATGCAACTATCTTAATCACATAATATCACTACCATCACCATTATCAGTCACTAACACTAGTCATTATCATCATCACCACTATAAACCGTTTCATTAGTATTTAAATTATGTATCTATTATATATATAAATAAATAAACATGTATAAATCATATAATCTAGAAATGACATCTTAATTGATATACATTTTAATTTGAAAAAATTACGCGGTTAAGCAAATTTATACTATTTAATTGCTCATTATATTTATAGTTTGTCATAACTACCACTCGCGACTAACATTATACCTTAATTACGTGGGTTGACTTCGAGTTTGTATAATTAGTCACGTTAGTATATTTATAATTCGGCAGAATATACAATTACATAAGTATAATGTACAACTATTTAGCCGATATACATGTACAATTCACCTCTCTCTCACTCTCCGCCTTGTATTGATCGCCTCTCTCCTACCTTTCCCAATCTCGCTAATCTCTCTCCTCCTTCTCCCAATCTCGTTTGTCATATATACAAATGCATATGTATAATACACAATTATTTAACTGATATACATATAAAATTCACCTCTCCCACTCTCTTTCCTCTCTCGCTTACCTCTCTCCTCCTCGCTTGCCTCTTTCCTCCCTCTCCCAATCTCACTCACCTCTCTCCTCCCTCTCTTGATCTCTCTTGCCATATATACAAATACATATGTATAATATACAATTGTCTAACTGATATACTTATGCAATTCACCTCTCTCTCACTCTTTGCCCTCTCTCGCTTGCTTCTCTCCTCCCTCTTCCATTCTTGCTCACCTCTCTCCTCCCTCTCCAATTTCGCTTGCCATATATATATATATATATATATATATATATATATATATATATAATATACAATTATCTAACTGATGTACGTATACAGTTCACCTTTCTCTCTAACTCTTTGCCCTCTCTTGCTCGCCTCTCTCCTCTCTCTCCCAACCTCTCTCGCCTCCCTATGACATGTAGCTACAAAATATAATTATCAAACTATAGTGCTGAAAAATAATTAAACTATTTTTGAGTAGATATATGTGAAAATTTCTCTTTAATTTTGATAGCATTATTTTCAATAAAAATAAATAAGACCTTATACACGATTTAGAAAATAAATAAATTCAGTAAAGTAGTAGAGAAAGTCGGTGGCACGTATAATAACGTCATTTTGTACCATGCATCAAATGCATTTAATCAGCGATAGCTCTATTTTTTATTTATTTTTATTTTTTCGTTCACGTTCATTGAATTTAGTCAAGAGAAAGATATTTTTTTCATAGTGCCAATAACAAAATATATTGTTAATTAATATTTTTAAAAAAATTAAGAATTGGTCAAGTCAATAACTTTTTTACATTGACTTAATATAATACTTAAAAAATAATTAGAAATTGTATGTTGAGAATAATAAATTATCTCGAGATATATGGAACAGTATGTATGTTAGTTTTATAAACAAAATATAAGTTTATGAATTATAGACAAAGTTTTTAGTTTATGAATTATAGACTTCAGGGGTGGTTCTAAAATATTTACAAATTTAATCAGTAAAAAATTTATTTAATATTTATGACTTTATTATTAATAAAATTTTAATTACCTTATATGAATTATTTCTTTGTTTCACTATTTAAAAAATTGTAATTTTTCCATGCCACCTTCTGGAATTAAATATTCAAAAACATATTTATTATATCACAATAATATATATTAAACTGCTTTATTTTATTTTATTTTTTTATAAATATGTTTCCCTTGTGATCATGAGATTCCTTCAACAAATAGTAAAACGATTTATTACTTTATTATGTTCCTACTCATAATAATTACGTGTATTCAAAAAGCAAAAATTAATAATGAAAAATGCATTTATCCTCTACCTGCCTCTTTTATTACAATTGCTCCATCATCACTTTTTTTTATTGCTATCTTAATAAAAATAAAATATTTAAAATATCTTAAATTTGTTAGAAGTAAGTTAAATCTATATATGAATGGCACATCACGACCTACAGGCAACACCGGCGAGATCTGGAAAAGCAATCCGATTGGATGCCTGAGGATCCATAGTACCTGCAGCCTCCCGAACTTCATATTCATCATTTTCGAAAGTGAAGGGAAGGGATCTCTTTTCTGCAACGGAAAAAAATCTAACATAATTGAAATTTCTTCACTTTTAATTAAATATCTCATATTTGAGCTTATGAGAATGAAATAAATTTTATTATAAATGTTGCTCTCAAAAAATAACTTTTATAATACGTAATTTAAATTTAATCAAATCTCAATATATTTATTGGACGTCGAGCGAAAAGATTGTTGGAAAATGATAGGTCTCAATGTTTTCAATGAAAATGATGTATGATGTTGAATTGCATGTGAAATATCTTTGGTGCCTAACATGATTATGATTAGCATGGGAAATAAAATTATAAATAACTTTCTTTTTTCTTTTTTTTTTCTTTCTGAGTTGGATTGAAATCTATAAATATATTTCATCGATCTCAAAATATTTTATCGTGAATTTTAAAAAGCTAAAAAGTATTTAAAGAAAAAAGAGAGGGGGAATAAAAAAGAGTTTGAGATATTTATATTTGTATGATGTGGTCCTATGAAGGCAAATATGAGAATTATTTTAATTATTATCATCTACATACGTAGCCATGCAAGTAAAATGGAATGGTAAATATTTTTTATTATAAATTAAATATTTTAAATTTGAGTTAAGTGTATAAAGATTTTAATAATGAACATTTTATTTTAAGTGAAATTTTAAATAAAAATTAAAAAATTTAAATTAAACACAAATATCGAACACCGATAGAAAATAAAAAGAAAAATATAATCTTCCAATTTCTAAATACTAATTGTGGACATGATAACAAAATTAGGAAAGTCAAAATTAAAAACTACACGTATCTGCATAATTTACAACTTTTTAAATTTTTATTACTCTTATTGAAATTATTGAGAATAATAATTGTCAATCATTATTTTGACTATGAAAAATAATACTACGTACTGAACTATTTATTGACTATAGTATGGTCCAAAGTGGACAACTAGTTAAATTATTACTCTCCCTTTTATTCTCTAATCAATTTGATGAAGTAATACATTAGTGGCTCCAATCTTTAAAATATATATTTATTCGATATTTGATATCTATTTTTATGAATAAATATAATATAGTATTAAATATTTTGATTCGATAATTTTACTTTTCAATTTTTAAAACTTTATATCTCCTTCATATTAATTTTGATATTTTAAAAACATATTGTTAATTATAGTAATTTATTCTATTTTAGCTTAAACAATTATGATTTTGACTTTTCAATTCTCAATTATATCGTATTAATGTCTTACCCATAGAACAATATTCAAAAAAAGAAAAAATAACAACATTTAACATAAATATGACAGTTTAATCAAGATGGTATGGTCAAAATTTTTAACATTTAATAATTGAGTAGTAATTTATTTTATATTTTTGCTATTATTTTATGATAATATACATTATCCGATCACTCGAATAAAAATTATATTATTTCTGTAATCCTGCTTCAAATTAGTTTTGTTTTAAACCGAAATCTATATAAAATAATTATTTATCTCGCGAATATTAGATTACTCAAAGATTTTATACTAATATGATTCTTAAAATGAGAAATTCAGAATCTTGTAAATAAAATAAATTATCCCATATAAATTATTTTGGTGACAATATAATACTCTTATTTTGGAGCAGCAAAACATTAATATCATTTTCATTTTTTTAATTATTTTTTTAGACCTGGGGAATAAATTTTTTTTATAATGCATGGCAAGAAGACAATTACCAAAATTTTAGGAATCTATATAGAGATTTGGAAATTTTTCTCTGAAAAAAAATAAAAGTTAACTTTCCCTTTTGATGACAGTTGATATAAGTATTATTTTGTAAGTAGACAAAACAAAGTATAAAGTAAGAAACTTTGATGACACAAAAACAAATTTGGCAGTGCTAAATTTCCATATATGTGATTTTTTAATCCTTAAATAACACAAAACCAAATCTGGCAGTGCTCAAATTTCCATTTTTGTGATTTTTTAATTCTTTAATAATAGTTATTACTTCCTGTAAAGTTAAATTAGATTATATTAATTTGATATTTTAATAAAAATATTAAATATTCAACAAGAAAAATACATATAAATTACAATTTTTTATGTATGAATAAGTACATCGTAAAATATTAATTAAAATTCTAACAGTTTAACTTTGAATCTAATCCTTATGTGTTCTTTAAAACAAACAAAAAAATGTGCATTGAGATTTTAAATATATGAAATTTAAATACATAAATATGCTTAGTAGGTAAGATCATGAATAAAATAAAGAAAAAAACACACATAATATTTGCCAAACTACATGAAATGCACAACTCAAAAAAAGTCAAAAGTCATGTGCACATGTTTCATAATAAAATAATAAAAAGAACATAAAAGTTTAGAAAATTTCAAATGGACCATGAAATGAGAGTGAGAGAAAAAAAATCACACTAATTGTATACAAATAATTAAATTATAAATAGAGATGAAAAGAAATATATAAAAATT